AGTTCTGGTTGCTCCACACCCCAGTCTTTTAAATTTTAACCATTCTAGTGCGTATATAGTGGCATCTTATTGTGTTTTGGGGTTGAATTTGCATTAGCTTAATGACTGATGATGGTGAAGATATTTTCACGTGCTTATTTTTTCTTTGGCGAAATGTAATTTTTGCCTATTTTTTACATAGGGTTCTTCGTCTTACTGTTGATTTGCAAGAGTCCTTTGTCCTTTATATACTCTATAAACAAATGCTTCATCATTTATTTGCTTTGTTAATATTATCTCCCATCCATGGCTTCCTTATTTCCACAACAGTATCTTTTGAAAAATCAAAGTATTTAATTTTAATGAACCTTGATTATCATTTTCTTACATAGTCACTGTTTTTTGTGTCCTATTTAAAATTATTTGTGCCCTTTTGTTTTTGCCTAATCCAATGTCATTTAGATTTTCTCTTCTGTTTTTTTCTAGAAGTCTTATAGTTTTAGCTTTTATATTTTAGTTTATTATCTATTATAAGTTAATTCTTTATGTATGTTGTAAGGTAAAACTCAAAGGCTCATTTTTTTTTTTTGCATATGGATGTCCATTTATTGAAGGGATATACTTTCCCCATTGACTGCCTTGAACTTCTTTCAAAAATCAGTTGACCATGTATATGTGGGTCTCTTACAGGACCCTTTATTTTGTTCCATTGATCTGTATGTCTCTCTTTATACCGTTACCACACTCTTTCGGTTACTTTTGACATACGTCTTGGAATCAGTCTAAGTCATTCAACTTTATTCTTTTTAAAATTATTTTGACTCTATATATCCTATATTTCAATATAAATTTTAGAATCAGCTTGTCAATTTCTACAAAGGAAGCCTGTTGAAATTTTGGATAGGATTACTTTGATTCTATACGTCAGTATCAGAGAATTGACATCTGGATATTTTGAGTCTTCCAGTCCATGAACTTAGTACATAATACAGTGCTATGATTATACTACTATACTATTTTCTCTATTTTTATGTATGTTTGAAAATTTTCAGTTAAAAAGTTTAAAAATGTTTTTAAAATAGCCAAGTATCTTTTAAAGAAATTTAAAATTAAGGAAAAAATTATATTTACACACATTTTTTATTTATGCTTTTTACTCCCTTGTGTAGATCCAGATTTCCATCTAATATCATATTTCTTCTGCCTGAGAATTTCTTGTAACATTTCTTATAGGTCTACAGGTGATAAATCCTCTTGGCTTTTGTTTGTCTTTTTTTCCTCTTCATTTTTGAAAGCTATTTTGCAGAGTTTAGAATTTTAGGTTGGAAGAAGTGTCTAAGCCAGAAAGATTGGGCTAATCTGGAGAGAAGTTCTTGCTTTTCAGCAGTGGCATACCTTGTGGTGATTGTCCTTATGTTTGCCCTGATTGGGTTTCATTTAGCTTCTTTATTTTCTGGGTTGATAGTTTTTATTAAATTTGGAAATCTGTCATGCATGTTTTTTTCAAATATTTGTTCTTATTCTTTCTCCGCTTTCCTGCTGAGATTCCAATTTCATGCATGTTAAATTGCATGACATTGCCCAATAGGTCTCTGATTCTTTGTTTATTGTTTTTTCAGTCTTTATTTATCCCCCTACTTCATTTTTTATAGTTTCTATTGTTACTGGGTTTAAGCTCACTCTGCTTTTTTTCTCCCCACCATGTCTAATCCGCTGTTAATCTCATACAATGTATTTTTTATTTCAGATATTGTTTTTCAATCTACATAAATTCCCTGCGTGTCTTTTGTATTATATCTTTTTTCTTCGTTATCCTCGTGCTTTCCTCTACCTTCTTGAACATGTTGAGAATATTTACAATAGCTGTTTGAATGTTTGTGTCTGCTGATTATATCATCCATGTCATTTCTGGGTCTTTTTATTTTTTCCTTCTTGTCATGGCTTTTATTTTTCTGTGTATGCCTGGTAATTTTTATTTGATACCAGACATTTGTGTTAGATTTTTATTTCATTCCTTTAGGCTTGTTCTTAGGGTTAGTTAAGTTACTTGGCATTAATTTGATCCCTCCAGTGCTTGTTTTTAAGGTTAGGATGGGTCCAGAACAAATTAGTTTTTAGTCTAAATCTTTAACTGTTAGTCTAAGACTAATTTGGGCACATTAGTAAGGCAGCTTTCACTTTTGAGAACTCTGCACATTCCCTTCAGTATTAGGGGATCTTTTCACAAACTTTTCCTGGCCATGTGTGAGCTCCTGGGATTGTTTTACCTATTTCTGGTTGTTTTTTCTCAATTTTTGAACATTTTTTTCATACAGAAACACAAATCATTAGCCACTCAGAGACTTGAGGAACTCTTCCACGTATCTCCAGAGCCCTCTCTGTGTGCAGCTTTCTTTTCTCTGGTATTTTGCCCCACAAATTCTAAATTCTGTCTCTTTAACTCAAACGAGACCACTGGGTTCTGTTTGAGGTTCTCCCTTCCTCTGCTCTTCCTGGAAACTCTTTCCTAGGGATAAGCTGGGGCAAAGGCAGCCAACTATTCTGGTTAGCCAGGATGCAGTGATCACTTTCAGTGAGAGTCCTAGGCAAACCAGGAATAATTGGTTACCCAAGCTGGTGGTTGTAGGAGAATGTACTCATTTGTTTCACTTCTTTCAGGGATTACTGTAACAGTTGCTTTGTAGCTGTACCCATTCTGCTATTGAATCATTGGCCAATTTTTTTTTCCTGTCAAATTTAAGTAATATAGTTTGCTTTTCTAAAATTGCTCAACAATTTTTTTATAGCCATCTTTTTTGTGTTAATACTTTCTGCTTCTGTTTCATGAAAACAATATATTATCTCTCTGCAGATGTGATACTGATTGTGTGTATTATAAAGTTGTATTTGAATTGTTTCATCTGTTTTTTTTTTGTTTTTTTTTTGAGACAGAGTCTCACTCTGTTGCCCTGGCTAGAGTGAGTGCCGTGGCATTAGCCTCGCTCATAGCAACCGCAAACTCCTGGGCTCAAGCAATCCTCCTGCCTCAGCCTCC